GTATTCTAATACCTTACACGTCGTTTCTGCACGTATACAGTGTTAAGGTGAACATTTCACCTTGTGGCTGGCAGCCCAGTGGCAGCTGTTAGGTCAAGATACTGGGAACAGGAGGCTGCAGGCTGCACACTCAACGGGAGCCGCGGTGGTGGCCGCTCATGGCCCAAACTGCCAGAGACGAAGCAGGGGTGGAGATGGAGATGGGAATGCGGGAGCTCAAAGTTTGCTCTACATTAAGAAACACACCCGAACACCTCGGCACCCGTCTTCAAGCCCCGCCGGGAGGCCTGACGGAACGAGCCATCGGCAGCTGCTCTCAAGCTGGGCTCCGGGCCTCTTGGGCACCCAGGCCTCCACGTTTCTTGCCCCCGTCTAAACACCCAGTGGGGCTGAGTCTGCTCTGGAAGCCTTTGATTTCACCGTGTGGACAGACCGGGTCTCTGTCCAGCTTCCACATGTCGCTGACTTAAGAAGTGCCTGCTTTTGCCCACAGTGCAGCAGGGCGCATCCTGTACTGGCTCGGGCATTCCTCCCAAGGAGCCTGCGGTGGCTCTCTGTTCATGGGGACAGATGACACTTTGGCTGTTTTCCTCCTGTAGACTCTTCCAGGTCCCCGACAACAGTCCCATCTGAGACTTGCTGAATCCAGTTTATTTAAGTCGCTTTCCCTCCCCTGGGTGAGGACTTTTAATTAATGACAAATTTCCTACAGACCAGCCAAAGGAGGAGACACATTAACAGAGAACTGCGTCCAGGAGAGCTTTTATTTGTACGGAACAGTTTTAAAAATACAGAATAAAATAGCTTTATCTCTACTATTATTCACAACATCTGGTCCAAATATTACATATTTTTAAAATACTTAAACGTTTAATGAAGCCATGTTAGAAAAACAATATGAAAATTCTTTTTTAAAAACTCCATAAAAGAATTACACATCTCAAAAAACAACCCCACCCCCAAATACCCTCGGTATGCAAAATAAAAATAAAAAACAAACAAACAAAACCCCAGGAAGGTATATAGCCAAAGTCAGTCACAAAAACGCATGGAAAATATAGGCATCCCCACTGCTTTAAGAACGGTCAGAAATTGATTAACGTGTCGAACAGAGGTTGATACCAGCGAACAAAAAAGGGTATTCACTTGAACGGGTCAGTTAGACGGCAACGCCGGGGAGGGCGCCCGAAGCGCCGCGAACACGCGCAGTGAGCGTAAGGACGCCGGCGTTCCTTCCGCGGAGGGACGAGCGGGCACAGTCAAGAACAACCTAGAAGGGCAGGAATGTGTGTGAGGCTGCTGAAACGGGGTGCCCAGCGCTAACGTGCTTTCCGCGTCCACGGGGAGAAGCTGAATGCCGGCGACAATGGGCGGTCCTCTCGCGCTACTCGGGAGGTGACTGCAGGTGAAGTGGCGGGTGGGAAACGTCCTGTTCTGTGTCCAAACCGTAGGGGGACAGAGCACAACACGCACGGCGTGTGAAAACCCGGGGGGCTTCTCTGGGGCCCGGGGGGTCTCCCCGGAAGCCTCAGGCCCGCGTGCAGCGAGGGCACAGCCCCGGTGCCCGGGCGGGGTGGCTGCGCGCGCACGTCCCACGCACGTTGCCTACGCAACGCTGCCGCTCATTGCCAGACAGGTTCTGGAATGAGGCTTCTGCCACAGCTCCTTATTCACCTTCTCCCTGGCCTGGCCACTCTTGTGGCCTCAGGATCACGGATGATTATAGTTGCCCACTTGTAAGTCTAAGTTACCAGTATCAATACTTCAGCAGGGCCGTGAAAGAAAGAAACAACTTTAGCTCATGGTGATAAAATATACGCATGGGTAAATAAAGTATACACACATACTAGAGATTCATCAATGGAGAAATTCTATATCACATGACATTGTCATGAAAATTATACCATTCCCTCCCTGGAAAACTTGTGACTATTATCCTGGGTAGAAATGTTATTTTACTATATGGAAATACTGCAGTATTCATGCATAAACCAAGTCGTCATCATGAAAGTCAGCATTCTACAGTATGAAGTAAATCCTGGGTGTGAATTTGTTACCATGAAAACGGGAAACCACGAGGGCTCACGACACCTCATTCCAGCTGGCCTGGTTAAGCCACTTCTCTTGCCTCCATCAATCACGAGAAATTTACTACGACATCTGAAACCCGAGAGTCTGTATGAATGAATCTAAGTTTAATTCCCAGATGAGACAAAGACTGGAGCCATTTCCCATTACTCTATGAACCATGTTAGATATTTTTTTATTGAAACCAGTAGTGGGCCCTCCCTTGCCACCCACCTTGATAGGACAGTTATCTACTGTCCTTCTAAATACTTTCTGCTTCTCACATTAAGATGGCCAAGGTCAACATAAAGATGGTGGGTAGGCAGTCATTATGGAAACTGGAGTCTGAAAGCCCTGCCCAAGAACACTTACACCCGAAACATTTTAAAATGTTCTATTGGCCCAAGCATGGCGGATATGTGGCCTCAGCGATGCAGGCCAGTAGTGTAAACGCACATGACCACTTCGTCCCCAAAACCTTTCAGGCATGTGCTTAAGGAGCAGACAAATAGATTTTTCTTTTAATTACAGACTCATTCTGTAGCCTATTAATTATCAGGAGACTCCAATCACTCAGGTTTCACAGGCTGTGCAGAAAGTACCAGACTCAATGGGACCTTTAGTTGGGCTGCCCTCTGTCCTCCCCACCTCCTGCCTTAGAACCTAGAGTTGGCCCCAATGGAACAAGAAGGGTAAAACCCCTCATCTCTAACAGAAGGTGTGGATACAGGGCTTCCCCACACATTTAAATGCTTGCAGAAGACCTCCCCAGACCAGCAGACTTGCAACCTCCCAATAAAACCCAGCCCAAGGAGGGGCTTCAGAAGGGGGTGGGTTTCTGACCATTTGAAGCATATATCCCGAGTGTCACTCACTAGGAGGGAAGATGCCTGGTCTGGTGAAATTACCCAATGGTTCAGATGCTTTTACTTGGGTATTTGGTCCATCTGCTCACCTAGAGATCTAGAATACTGCAAATCTCTGGCATGTTTAACAGTTTTCCCCACTATTGAGAGCAGAGAAATTAGAGGAGGTGCTGAGCAAAAACACAAACAGAAGGAAACTGAGAGCAACTCCGTGCAGGGGGGCCGCCGGCACTGAGTATTACTTAGCCAAGTTACAGGGATGGAAACCGTTAACCAGTGTGCTTCTACAGTTAACTACATATCAAGATACAATTTTAAAAAACATACAAAATTAAATGTAATTTAGAATCTAATTTTTTTAACTTAATCTGCAGTAAGATCTTGGCAAAAAACGATACAGTGGCTCTGAACTATTCTTGCCAGAATACGCCTTGAAGCCCCAAACTTCCAGGAATCGAGGAGGCTGTAGCGGTAAAGCAATGCTACCAAAGTTATCAGAACGCGGTGGAGGAGGGCCACCTGTGGGGGCAGGAGACGTGCCCTGGGGACACAGGGCTGCTGAGAACCATGTCCTGATGTCAAAGACAAGAACACCCATGGCTGTCCAAGGCTCAACCAGGTTAACAAATGACCTAGGAAGCACAACCTCATGTAGCGAGGTTGCTACCTTGTGTTTCAGGGTTTTCCTTTGGCTGGAAATTTCCAAGCCAAATTCCACAGAAGTAACTTTTTTAGATAGGAGTTAGTGTTATTAATGAGAAATCAACAGAAGGGGCCCTGCCTACTGCTTTTCTTACCACCTTCTGCAATAACTTAAACAAGAAAGGCAGCATTTGGCCAGAGGGTCTAATTTTCCCCTCTGCAAAACCAAAATCCAGTGGACACTCCACATGGCAACCCACAGAAAGTCTCCTTAAGCCTTAACTGCTGGAAATGACTTGCAACAGAACTACAAGAATGAATTTACCAGGATGCCCAACCATTCAATATGGCGGCTCTGTGGATTCCCTGCCCCAGCTTCTCTTCTCCACAAAACAAATTCACGTGTAACTTAACCCACGGTTTCTGGGCTCTGGTCCAGTAGTCAGTTTTGATAAATAGATTACAGTATTTACACGTTCATGGTATCAAGCAATACAAAACACAACCACAATAATGGTTACTGGCCTTTAAAAGCCTTGACGACAAGCTTCCCTGATGGTATCCACAGCGTTATCAATGCTGGTTCTTTTCTTCATGGGAAGTGAAGGGGGGTTGGGGGGGAGACAAGTAATAGGGATGCAAGGTAAGAGGGTCACATGGAAAAACACTGATTTCAAAAACCTGTTATAGTCAATAACATTAAATAGGAATAAAATCTTGTAGTTTATAGACACGCGCAACAAGAACTGACATCCACATGACAGCAGAGTCAAGACTCCCAGAAACATCTGCTTAGTGCCCTTGGGTGGCACTCTATACCCATGACACCAGCCTGGAGTGAGAAAATGTCAGATAGAGTGTCTCAATTATAGTGAAAAAAAAGCCAGTATGAAATGTGCTGGCCCAGCTCGGGCCAGGGTGGCACCAAGAAAGAGCAGTTGAGAATCAGATATTGACTCCAAGGTTCTTTCCCTTCCCCTCCAATCCCCCAAACAGATTTCAGTTCTAATAACACCTGTACAGACCTTACCCACACACAGATATGGGTACAGGGTAACCATGTCGATGGTTTTCAATCGGGTCAACAGTCTCCTGCTACAGGAGCATCAGGGGACACAGAATCACATTTGACTAGTAAGATGTGACAGTGAGAGGATACTTGTGCCCCTTGACCAGAGGGGGTCCTATGCAGGTGCAGACTGAGGTCAAATAAAATAGAAGCGGGTCCAGGTGCTTCCGGGACAGAGAGCCTCTACACCCCAGAGGCTAGGAAAGCTAGCCCAGGGTGGTGGAAGGAGACCGAAACCAAGGAACCACTGTGGATTTAAACACCCGCTTCCACAGGAGGACAGGAACTTCAAGTTCAATGGACACTCTCAAAGGCAAGGAGTAGGGCTTAAATAAGGAGACAAGTGAGACACGATATTAGACACGATCACCACCCACAACAAAAAAGCTATTTGTAATCGTCTTAGCTCTGGGTGCAGAATGTAAATGCAGATATACAAACATATAGGTTACTGCTTGTTACTCAGCAAGGAACTACAGATTCATGCCTCACTGCGGCCGGGCCACAGGGTGAGCTACAGCTATACTGTGGCCTGAGAGTCCTCGTCTGAACTCCGGCTGGTGGCACTCTTCCCGAGGCCTTTCCACGTGTAGCCCACAAAGGTTGGGCTGATGGGTAAGTAGCTGAAGCATCTGTATTTTTTGATAATGTTCATGCCGAACGGCAGATCATAGGATTCCATGCCATCAAGTGACTTGCTCCCTTTGCCCACGCCCTTCTTCCACTTCCGGATTCCTCTCTCCTCTGGAGTGCCTGTGGAATGAACACAAACACACTACGATGGAATGTTTGGTTTGACAGTTCCACCAAGAGCTGAGGTTCTCCGACATGCTGTCCCATACGTGGACCCTGCCGGATGACAGCAAAGATCCCTGGAGGAGCAGCTGATGGCACTCAGAAATCTGAGAATCGCTAACCCATCCGTGTTCCTTTGGCTCCAGAGTGAAACAACCTGATGGCTTTGCACCCTCACTGTCCTTCCAAGTGGCCCACATTCTCAATTTTCACTGCTGAGGTCTGGCCCAAACCACGTTATTGCTTTCGTGGGTCATAATAACAATCTCGTAACTGGTTGCCTGGTCTTCCATCTCACCATCTCCTTCCCCAAATCTGTTCTCAAAAACCAACACAAGAATTTCTAAAATGTAAATCTGATCCTGCAAAATGGGACCAGTCTTTATACCACATATACTGTCTTCATAAATTGGTCAGGGCAAACCACCTCCCCCCCCTCACATGCCATGCTTTATCCTGCTTTGCTCCATCTGTGTGGGGCAGGGGAAGAGGGCGGGAGGGAGATGTACTTGCTGTGTGTTCCCCACCGGTCATGCTCCTTGTGAGGATGAACCTCCGTGGACATGAACACTCTGGGCCACTCTGTACCCTGACAAATGAGTCAGGGAGAAAGATCTGGGCCTACAGGGCTCAGCAACTCCTGCACCCTGGACTTTTCCTGTAAATCTCTCCAGTGCAGAGAGACACCCTGCCACTTGCCCTTGGCTACCTGGGATGCCTAACAACATACTCTCTCTGCCCAAGCCTGGATGACAAGCTCTAGTCTACGGTGCGGGATAAGGAACACCATGATTTTCTTACATCTAAGCAAGGCCCTCCTGTCCATGTTGCTGTAACAAAGTGGACTTTAATTTCCACTTGCCAGACGCCTGTGCCTCTCTCTCGATAGCTCTGAGAGAGTTGGTGACTGAGCCCCATCAATCTAACACCTTCCATCTATTTGTGCACGTGATTCTTTCTGCCTGATGTGTGGCAACCTCTTGATTGAGGCTTTTTGGACATGTGCTGTTTTTAGGGGAGAAATCTCAACAAAACCTTCAAGTTTAAGAATAAGCATCACCCTTCCTTGATGGAAGGTGAATCTACCAGTGTGTCTGTGGTGGCACTTTCCAATGGTACCGGCAGCCTCCTCGGCACGCTGGGAAGGCTGCGGGGCAGGGCCCACATCACATCCTCATCTGTCAGCCAGCTCAGCATAGCATGCACCCAGCGGAGAAACAGGGGCCATGGGTGTTGGGGAGACAGCTGCCTCCACCCACCTCTCGGGCACGGATCCTGGCGAGAACCTGTGCCTGCCATGCTATCTTTCGGTCCTAGTTAGCCGGGGGCCTGCTTCGGGAAGGAGGAGGAGACACACCGCAGGCCGCTAACAGCCAGCTTAGGAGAGTGTGTGAACAAGAGGACGAAAGCCACCGCGGGCACTGAGCGAGGCTGTGCGAGGAGCGCTGGCGGCCCGGACAGTGCCCCGGCATCCCGCCACCCTGCACCGCGGGCAAGCAGTTTTCCTGCTTTCTCTCAGCTCAGCCAGGAAAAGAACTGCACTGGGTTTATCAGCAAAACACTGATTCATAAAAGGAGGCTGGGAGCATCATCATAACCACTTTAGAAAAGACAGTTTGAACCAGGGAGGGCTTTGAACTGATTCACTCTTCCTGCTTCCGTATTCACTTCGCAAAACAAGTAATTCACATACGCAACAAGCATGTTTAGGGTATACCACGTACCTGGGATGGTGTTATCCAAAATGAAAGCCACACAGCCTCCTACAAACATAGCAGTTGTGAGAAGAACGTTCAACACCTGATCGATCCCTGTTATTCCTGGAGACAGAACACAGTGGGAGGGTCACTGCCATGGCCAGGGGCATGGGATGGGCACTGATCACCAGTCAGTGTGACCTACATATGTGAACATTTCTGTTGTACGTGAGCAGATACATTTTTGCTAGTAACATTTTAAACTTATAAGTAATTTCAGCAATAATCAGTTACTCCATAAAGAAAATTCCCAACAACGGATGGTAGAAGATAAATCTAAGAGTGAAGCTTAGCCTGTAATGAACTAGGAAGCCACTGAGGGATGGTGTTTGCAGAGTAAGAAAAAAAAAAAAAAAATTAAACAAAAGATGGCCCCAACAAGAGTATTTGTGATCTCTGCAATCAGATAAAGGGTTTCAGATTCTTGGATCACTGATTTGTGCTTAGCTCCTTTTAATTAGGAGCAACTGAATTTATGTAAGTGAACTCATAAAAATAACAAGAGTGTAGAGAAACAGAAACCCCTGAGCTTACGTGGTGGGAATCAGTTTGGCAGTTCCCCCCAAAGTGAAGATCTAGAACTACCCTAGGATATGGCAATTCTACCCCAAAGAACAGAGAGCAGGTATCCAAATCCAGCTGATCCTCAATATTAGCAGATTCTGCATCTGTGAATTTACCTACACACTAAGAATTTATCTGCAAACCCAAAAGGAATCCTTCTGGCCTTCGCAGTCATTCACAAAGCAGAAACTTCGAGTTGCCAACAACACGCGTGTTCCTGGCTGAGGTCAAACAAGGTAACGCTCCGCCTTCTTGTTCACCTCTGCTCTCTCTCTAGTGTGCCTGCGGTAGTCTGTTTAATACCGCTCCCTCCCCATTTTTGTGTTTTTGGTCGGTGATTTAGTTGCTTAAACCGGCCCCCAAGTGTGATGCTGAAGTGCCATCTACTGCTCCTAAGGGCAAGAAAGGCACGCTGAGCCTCAGGGAGAAGACGCCTGTGTTGGGTGTCGGCTGTTGCGCCCCTAGAAGGGATGGTCTAGCATCTGCTCGTTCCGCATCCACAGTGACCACATAGCACAGAACTGCCATGGATGAGGACCGACCGTACTTGTACGCCAGTGTTCACCACAGCACTATTCACAACTGTCAGAAGGGAGACACAACCCAAATGTCTGTCGCTGGACAAACGGATAAACAGATTACGGTGTATATATACAATGGAATACTATTAGGCACGAAGAGGAATGAAATATTTATATATAAATCTCAAAAACACTATTCTAAGTCAAAGAAGCTAGAGATCACATATTCTATGATTCTTTTATGTGAAATATCCAGAACAGGCAAATCCACAGAAACAGAAAGCAAACTGGTGGTTGCCAGGGGCTGGGAGGAGGAGGAGAAGGATCATAGAATTAAGTGCTTAATGGATATGGAGTTTTATTTTGGGGGTGAGGAGATGGTTTTGGAAACTAAATAGAGGTGGTGGTTATACAACATTGTAAACATACGAAAATGGCATTGAACTGTTCACTTTAAAATAGTTAATTATAGTAATTTTATGTTACAGAAGTTTTACCTAAAGAAATTTATATATACATATGGATTATACACACACACACACACACACACACACACACACACACACACACACAAAATAGTCCCCAATTCTGCATAAAATGTCAACGGCCATCGCTACTGAAGATGGTTCCCCTTTGTTCATTCTTCATGACATCAGGGTATTAGATAAAAAGGTGTTAAAAGGGTTAATCTTGAATTCAAAGTAGTTATAATCTCAGCAGAAAGACATGTATTTGAAAGTCTATAAAGCTGGAGGAATTCTACATTTTCATAAAGCACTAGTCTGAGAAATCATAGGCTTTACACACAGGCATTCTCCCAGAAGACAAGGTCCCTGTAAATAAAGAGCCCTTAGCGTGCACACGAGTCAGGTGTAGGAGCCGGCTCGTGCCAGCAGTGCCAAGGGCTTCCAGAGAAGCTGTGGCAAAGCGAGACTCAAATCAGATACACAGACCCACGGCCACCGAGACAATTCCTAAAGTTCCAAAGTCTTCTGTGAGCTGGTGGCTGGGGCTGGTTTTCCTTACCTGTGACGAGAGGGTTCTGCCTGAGGTAACTTGGAAGGACGAGCCCAAAGAAGATGGAAAATCCCAGCACAAAGAGGTTCCGGGAAGAATTTAAGTCGATGAACTGGAGGTTGGAGAGCCCAACAGCCGTGATCATTCCTGGAGAGAAACACATCAGCTGGCAGGTGGCACTAAACTCAAGTACAGATGGGCAATGGAGGAGACACAGACTCCCCACACTGTCCCTTCTTTGTCCCACCAGAAACAAGTTGGAAGACAGAACAGTGACGGCAGGGCTGGAATGTGACCACCTGGGTGTCTGAACCAAACGACTCTTGGCCTAAGCACCATGTGGGCTCACACAGGGACCCAGACGTCACATTCACTTTCTTTAGACCAAGCAGAAAACTACGGACACTGGCTGCCCCTGAAAACCTCTACGCAAACATCCTGATTAAACTGGGAAATCCACTCAAAGATCTGGGCCTGATCCCAACTGAATGGCACAGAGATTGTGTCAGTTGCAAATGGCCAGTCAGAGAAGGTATGAGTTAAATCAATTAGATACACCAATTAAAGACTAATGTCCTTTTACTTTTCCTTGCACAAGTAGTCTACATTTGGTTCTACCTTGAACGTAAATTCAACTCAGAGACTGACGTATGTTTTTATGTTTTGAAGGGGTATCCCCTCTGTATTTTTAAGTGGAAATGTATTATTACCTTCCGTCTTACTGAAGGGATTCCTGAGCAAATATGTAAGGGAGGTGAGGCGACAGGCTCTCAAGGAAATGGGATTTTACCAAAGAGAGTACAGAAGAGGGCGCCAAGCACCGGATCCGGGAGGGAGGCGAACAGGGCGCTGAACTTCCCGATCATGCCGAGAGCCAGCATAAGGGCCGCACCGTACTGGATCACCCGCCGACTGCCGACCTGTGGAACACACCAGAAGGCACTCACTGCCAGTCCTCACAAATTCCCACGCAGGCCCCTTGGGGGAAAATGTGACAAAAGCCCCAGGCTACAAAACTTTTGGTTCAGAGACAGGTCTCGTTTTACAATGAGGATAGCTCTCAGGGCACAATTACTCTAAGGCACTATAAGAGTAAAGAGATTCCCACCAACTCCCTCTTCCTCCTGCCCTCCCGTCCCCTCCTCCTCTCCTGGGCTCGGCCTTTGCTTCCTGGTGCCCTGGATGATGTCACTTCACCGTGGACCTGCTCCTGCTCTCAGGTCTCGGCTTTCACATGCCTGTACAGTCAACAGCAGGGGCGACCTTCTGACATCAAATGCAAAATAGGCTTCCTCCTGCTTTTCTCTTCTGGGTTCTTAGACTCACCCTTTATCAAGTTACTCCACCCCTAAGTAATTCACCTTTGTCTCCATCTTCCCCACACCCTGAATCAGCTAAGAGTCCCAAATATTTCTGGAACCTCCTCTCCTCCTCCTCTCCTCGCCTGTGACAGGTGGCACAGCCTAGAGGCCAACGAGTGTGGATTCTCAGCCCTCGCCTGGTCTGCACCCCCCACTGCACTCCAACCGGGAGGCCAGGACAAGCCACCTGGCCTCTCTGGGTGGCGCAGGAGGACAGACCAGGAGCCTTTGCTTTAGGGGTTAAACGAGACGAGGTGTAAATCAGTTTGAACAGTGCCTGACCAGCATGAGGCTCCAGGAGAGCCTCCCACTTAGGCTCGCGGCCTCGGCCTTCCCTCTGCCTGTGTGTCCTGTCTGCTCTGCACTGACCTTTCTCACACAGTGATTTGGGAGGTCAGTGCCTCTCCCCTTCAATCCTCTGGTGCTCAGGAATAAAACTCCTTTCTCAGGCATCCCCAGACCTGTCTACCTGGAACAATCCTTCCCACATCCCCCCTCTGGCTGGTTCCAGACATACCCTTCAAAACACTACCAAATGCCACCTCCTCTTAAAAGCCTTCCTTGATTCCAAGGGTCTGCCTCCCCTACATTGGGCCTCTGCAGAACCGTTATGACATTTCCTATATGGTCTCTTTATCTGCTCAACCTGATCTCTGCCTTCTAGAAACTTCTGCCTAGCCTACCCAGGTAGTGGGATGTGGAGCCGGCACCAGGTTCCAGAATCCTGCCACTGTGTGCTGCCTTTCCCGGGAAAACACCCTGAGGACATAAACTGATAAGAGGTTCCAGAAACGCCTGAGGACCATCTATAGGGCTTTACAGATGACTTACAGTAAGGAGATGGTTACTTAAATTCAAATAAAATGAAATGAAATTTAAGATTTAATCCCTCGGTTGCAATAGCCACTATTTCAAGTGCTCAACGGGAACGCGCAGCTGGCGACTCCCGCACAGAAGGGCACATGTGTGCAGAGAACGCCCCGCCACCATGCTCTGCTGGGCAGTACTGGTCTGGAGCTCCCAGCAGCATCTCCAAGGGCCCAAAAGTCAGGTGGTTAAGAATAGTAGAGTAGAACTGGGGCGCTTGGGTGGCTCAGTCCGTTAAACGTCCGACTTCAGCTCAGGTCGTGATCTCACAGTTCGTGGGTTGGAGCCCCGCATCAGGCTCCGTGCTGACAGCCCAGAGCCTGGAGCCTGCTTCGGATTCTGTCTCCCTCTCTCTCTACACCTCTCCCATTCACACTTTATCTTTCCATCTCTCTCTCTCTCTCAAAAATAAACAAACATTAAAAAGAATCAGAGTAGAATCTTACTGAGCCAATGAAGGGATGGCTGGCTGTCTGGCTACAAGGAGGCACCACTGGCCCTGGAGCCCAGGCTTGCTGTTAGAATCTACCGCATCCCCCACATGTCATCAGGGCAGGGAAGCAGTAAAAAGGGTACGTCAACTGGAGAATTGGGCAAAAATGACTTCTGCTTGGCTGCATTGGATGACAAGGAAGCCTGCTGTTTCTCAGCAAATGTTTTTAGCAATCTACTATGTGATAAGCACTTGTTAGACTGGAGGGGGAGGGGAATACAAAGATGACTAAGCCACAAACTTGTGATCAGATAACGGTACTGCTGCAATGCTTATGCCGTGTGGGCACCGAGCAGGGAGGAAGAGCTCTGAGGAGTTGGGGAGGGATGAGTAAGAGTTCGCTGGAGGAAGAGCGTCCAGGGCCAGGGAGCCATCTGTGCAGAGCCCACCTCCCAGCAGGTCAGATGTGCAAGGGGGAGGGCAAGGCTGGCCCCAGGGATGCTTGAAACAATAAATCTTCTATGAAGACCGTGCATGGAAGGCTGATCTGCCTCAGATTCTCAAAACAAACAAGCAAGCAAATAGGCAGCAAACAAGCCATTCTCCTGTTCAAGGGCTATTAACTGAGTGCCTACTATACACTTCTGTTTGAAACACCAGAAACACGGCCCGAATCTCTGTCCTCCTGGTGCGGTGTGAGGCCGGCTCCCTGGAATCTCTTCCCTGCCTCAGCTCTGGCTTCCTTCTTGGACTCTGACTGTGCCTCTAGCGCCATCAAAATATTGACACCGTACTTCTGGCTTTCCAAAGTCTTCAACAGTGTGGAACGCAGCAGAGTGGAAATGCCCTTCCTCTGGATACCTCCAAAGAGACTGTGCTGTCAGGGGAGGTGGTGTTTATCCTGTCCCCCGAAATAAACTTAAGGCTAAATATCACACAAGGACGCTATCTGGTGCTCAGTGTGCAGCTACATGCCAGACTGCGTTAAGTGCGTTACATCACTGCAATGCCTGGCTTTATAGACAAGGGCATGGAGACTCAGGGAGGTGATGTGACCTGTCCACAGTCACTCTGGAGCAAAGGGACTGGAGCAGGTCTGGAATCCAAAAGAGCTACTTCCCAACTCTGACACGCCATTCCTCTGTGTGGGACAGACACTGGATCACGCTCAGCAGAGAAGTCCTACACGTAGAACTGAACCCAAGGGCTTCTGAACACAGCAGTGTAGCTAGCAGCCTCCACCCCTCCTCAGATAGGTCAGCGCTGCCACGCCCAGGGAACGCCACAACTGGAGACAGGGTAACTGAGGTCAGAGCTGCCAGGAAATGGAGTAGACAGATCCTCTGGTTGAACCAGAGCTCACACTCCTTCTACAGGCCCTGGTAGTCTGACACAATGGCCCAGACCAGTGCTGTCCCACAGAACTTTCCACAAGGATGGAAATGTCCTGTATCAGTGCTGCCCATTGACAGCCACTAGGCACATGTGACTGGTGAGCCCCTGAAATGGGGGCTAGTGCAACTGAGGAGCTGAATTTGTCATTTTAACTAACTTAAAAGAGCCACAGGTAGCTACCATTAAACCGGACGGCCCAGACCTAGATCTAGAATTGTAGGGTTTCAGAGCTAAGAGTTCTTAGAAAAGTGACTTGTCCCAAGTCCTTCAGCTGGATGGGAGCACAGCCTCCAATGCGCGCCTCCTTTCTCCCGGAGGAGGGACTTTCCATCGGATGCATGGCTGGGGCCAAAAAGAAATGTCTGCTCCAAGTCCGATTTCCCACCCCAATGCAGCTGTGCAGACAGCTCAATTATCCCCCTTGTGAAGTCAGAGCAATGAAAACCAATTCGAGGCCCCTGAATGGATGCCACCCTTGCCTGGGGACAGTAATCCAACGGGATTCAGAAAGAAGATCAATTAGCTCATTAAAAAGTGCTGGCAGGTTGCCTGATTTTCAGAATAAGCTGGCACCATTCAAACTGTAATAAAGATAATTATTCCCCAAACCACCTCAGTCGCATTTCAGAAGGGAGCCTCATGAGCACCACCACCTACTCCCTGCAGTGACCCTGGTAAAGTTGTGTGAGGATCCATTTGAAAGGGGTGCAGAAAGGGAGCTGGCCTGTTAAACTGGTTTTGCCCTAGGAGTTCCTCCATCTACAACAATTTTACTGCTATGATATTTCAGATTGGTTACAGTCCACCGGGGCACGGCCGCAGACTGGCTAGAGAGGGACGGCCCTTAGCTCTGCGTGTTCGCCACCTGCTTCTACCACGGGTGGTGACAGGACCCAGCACAGCTTTGAGGAGGACCAGGAGGACCCGGCCCGTGGGGAGGACCAGGAGGTCACGGCCCGTGGGGAGGACCAGGGGGACCCGGCCCGTGGGGAGGACCAGGGGGACCCGGCCCGTGGGGAGGACCAGGGGGTCCCGGCCCGTGGGGAGGACCAGGAGGACCCGGCCCGTGGGGAGGACCAGGGGGTCCCGGCCCGTGGGGAGGACCCAGCCCATGGGGTGGATCAGGAGGACCAGGCAGGGCTGTGTGGACTCTGAGCCCAAGCTCTGTGATGGCCCCGCCCACTTACAGGAAAATGAACAGGTCAGGAGTGCATCGTGCCCCCTCTCACCTGGATCTGCAGTCAGGATTAACCAAATTTAGTGTCTGGTTTCTTTTCATCTGGTTATAGAATCTTGTGGGGGGGAGGGTTCTAATTTTACAGAGGTCACTGTTTTCTAAAATTTTTTTTTTTTTAATGTTTTATTTATTTCTAGGAGAGAGAGAGACAGCGTGAACAGGGGAGGGTCAGAGAGAGAGGGAGTCACAGAGTGAAACAGGCTCCAGGCTCTGAGCTGGCAGTCAGCACAGAGCCCGACGCGGGGCTCGAACCCACGAACCGCGAGATCATGACCTAAGCGAAAGTCGGACGCTTAACCGACTAAGCCACCCAGGCGCCCCCAGAGGTCACTGTTTTCTAGAGCACAGCTCTAGAAGGCTGCATTCTATCCTGCCTCTCAGGACAGAGGCTCAGGTGAGGGGGACCTGTGGCTCACACAGGCCACCCCGCACATGAGCAAGCTCTAACCGTCTCTAGCTGCCCTGCGTACAGCAGCCAGGGCGCAGGCACCTTCCAGCCTGGCAGACGACACACTCGGGCCCGGGTCGGCTGGGATACAGAGTTTAGTAATAAACCTGGGAGGCCTAGGAGCAGGCTGCTAACAGAAGCTGGATGGTGGGGTGGGGCAGCCCCAGGTCACATGTCTATATGGGGGGGAGGGGGATTAAGCTCTGGACCCAGGCCCTGCTCAGCCTGGGGGACCTGCTGTAGCTTGTCAAATCCACTAACTCCGCATCAGATTTCATCTGAAAGAGAAAGACTCTGGAGCTATGGTCTGAAAATCACATTAATTCTTACTGTAAGAGTGAGTTTTTCCTCTAAGGACTGGCATCATCTCATATCTAGAACTAGAGCTGTCTCCTGTTTCCACCACCTCCCCGACCCTGAGGTCCACTTTACATAACAGCCAAAGTGAGCCTTAAAAACCAACCCGATAGGGCCACAGCCCAGGGAAACCCCTTCTCCTGTCTCTGGCAGCTTACGGGGCTTGTGTGACTCGGTCCTGTTACCTGGACGACGCCATCTGCTCTCACCACCCCGCACTCTGCTCCTGCCCCACCGCGTCCTTGCTGATCAGCAGCATGGGGGCCTACTCTCACATTAGGGCTTCACACTGGCCGTGTCCCAGGCCTGAACGTCCGTCTCCATCGCTCCTTCCACTGCCCTATTCGGGTGCTCGCGCGTGATCAGCATCTCACTGAGGCTCAGCCTGACTCACTCCCCCTCGCTCCTGATCCCTCCATCCTGCCCCATGTTTTTCTCATCCTTACTATGCTTACTCTTTACTGTTGGGCTTCCCCTCTCTAGGATGTAAACTCTTACAATGGGATTTTTTTTTTTTTTAATTCACTGAGGCATCCCAAGTGTCTAGAACAATAGCTTGGCATAGGGTTGGGGTTTAGTATTTGTAGAATGCACGAAGGAATGATAACACTGAGCGCCTGGCTACCCGGGCAGCCAAGGGAGGGAGACCTCCATCAGCATCCCAGAAACCCATCAATGAGAAAAGATTAGGGAGCAGGGTGGGGAAATGGTCTCAGAATTGGAAGCCTTCCGTTTGGAATACGCAGTGGTTCAGGCCAAATGATGAAATGATCAACCCTTAGAGGCCCAACCATTTAATTAGAAAAGTATCTGTACCTTAGTAATTCCCAAAACTCCAATGTTGGGACTGGATGAAGTAGAGCCATTCCCAGTACCAAATATGCCATCGAGAACACAGGAGAGACCCTCCACGAAAATCCCCCTAAAACGTAAAAGAATGGGAGAAAGAGAAACATTCATTCAATGGGGGTGACACTCTGAAATACACTCTAAGTGGCTGTAACCCAAAGGCGGTGTGTGGAAGTGGGGAGCCTCCGCACCCCTGAGAAGGGTTGGAACGGCAGAGTCAGGCCACCCCTCCCAGACCCGCTCAAGTAGAACCTGCATTTTAACAGGATCCCGCCATGCTCATTCAGCTGTGAGAAGCACTTCTGTGAGCCACACATTAGACACAGGTGTTTAAAAATCATTCCAAATGAAAGGCTTTTTGCCAGAAAACAGGGCCATTTTTTGGGATCTGAGACAAGTTTGGGCCGTCCACGGATTTGATTCCCTAACTATTCATAGTTTCATCAGAAAGGAAATCCTCTGTAATTGTGTCGACACCGGAACTTTTTAAAGAATCAATATCTAAGTGGCTCAACCATATGCAACACCCGTGGGAGAAGGCTGTGAGCACCAGGACTGTGAACGCTAACAGAACCAAAGCAAGACATGCTAAGACACAGCCCACTGGATCTCATCACACGTAATCCCTTCCAGAGGGGCAACAGCTGGCTGGGAAAGGGGGGCAGGGGTGGGGGCTTCTGGGCTCTTCTCTGCATCCCCACAGGGTCCAATTCGCTCCCACATCCAGAACGTGAAGACCAGGTGTGCTGGGAGAATAAACCCCACCGCCTGTGAATCTCTAGGTTCTACAGTCTTCACCTATTGCTGCTCTTCTGGTCTCTCTCTCCCTATGAATTGTAATTGTGAACAGACGATACAGCATTTACCCTTAAGAACAGTAAGGAAAACAAGAAATCAAAAAGGACATGTAACCCTGACCCCAAGTCAAGCAAAGAACAAGGGCAGCATCTCGCTTCTGTTCTGGGGTGTTTAAGGTCTGGTGTGGTCTCAGAAAGAGCATCTTACGTGGCCGTCACTGAGGAAGGAAGGGTGGAGACTGCATTCCACGCTACACATGAGGAAAGGGAGAGCAAAATGGGGGCAGGGACTTGTCCAAAGACAAACATCCAATAAAGAGCCCTGATGCTCAGCTGCTTCCAAGCTGGAGGTCTTGTTTCTTGCCCACGATCAACCAAAGGGCCAAGTAAGGAGGCACCGGGCCCAAAGAAGGACTCGAGTTTCTCAGGAACGTACCTGTTTATCGCATGGATGGGAGGCGGCGGGGCACAGGACAGCCTTGCACAGGCGTAATAGTCCCCAATAGACTCGATGATACTGGCAACGACGGCGCTGAGCATGCCGATGACTCCAGCTGCGGAGACGGTGGGCAGTCCCCACTGAACTACGGAAGGAAAATGGAGCCGGCAAAAGAGATCAGGGCCTCAAAGGACTCTACATGACATACTCAGGTTTAAGGCTCATGGGAAAACGTGTGTTTATTTTTAAATGTTACTCATTAATGCACCAGATGCCTGGGGATGGTTTCCTGAATTGGATGAAGACGGCCATCACCAGGACTGGTCTGCTCTACATCCTTATTAAAAAGAAAGTGTTTGGGGGCGCCTGGGTGGCTTAGTCGGTTAAGCGTCCGACTTTCGCTTAGGTCATGGTCTCGCGGTTCGTGGGTTCGAGCCCCGCGTCGGGCTCTGTGCTGACTGCCAGCTCAGAGCCTGGAGCCTGTTTCAGAGTCTGTGATTCCCTCTCTCTCTCTGACCCTCCCCTGCTCATGCTCTCTCTCTCTCCTAGAAATAAATATAAAAAAAAAAAAAATGGCTAAAAGGAAGAAGAGGCAAGTGCGTCTTTCCCTGCTTCAAAGCCACACTCTCCGTCTAAATTACAATTTAACACAGCCTGCTGGGACAGGAATTCCCTGATAGGGCAGGAAATTTTTATCAAGAGGGGTTTTGACCCTACTATGCAAAGCAAGGCACGAAATAATGGGGATCTTGGCATTAAATGAAAAAGCAGCAAAAAGTCACCAGTTAAATTTAAATCCCAGCAGTAAAGCTTGGCACAAGATACGTTCAGTCCTCCAATGTAAGATCAACACTTTTTTAAGTAAACCAGGTTATAGAAAATTAAACAGTTTCCTTTAAGAAAACAAAGATAAGTCCCCAGGTCACTTTATTTTGAACACCTGGATTTAGTTAATTCTTCATTACAGTTTTTTCCCTTAAGTTATTTGGATATTGAAAGCCGTGGATCTTGGGGCACCTGGTGGCTTAGTCGATTGACTCTTGATTTCAGCTCCGGTTTTGTGAGTTTGAGTCCCATGTCTGGCTCTGTGCTGATAGCACATAAAGAAAAAAAAAGGAAAGCCATGGATCTTATTTAATAAAAATATCATGAGATACTTTTACGTCTAAAAACAAGAGACTCTGATAACGTGCCTTACTTCTCTGAACCATTAGTTATAACGTGGTCACTAGTAGGAAGCATGGTGACAAAGATGCATAAATGGCCTTGTGCAGAGGGGCATCCGGACACTGAAAGATCTACAACAGTGTAAAACAGACTTCAAACACAAGTGACACACAGCGGTCACAAGGACAGGTTAGGAAAAGGCTGGGCTGCTGTCCCGAGGCTGCGGGGAGGGTGTGCGGGACAGGCTGCTGCCCTGCAGGAGGGGTGCGGTGTGGGGCAGGCAGGCCTGGGAGAGGCTGCAGAAGCCACACAGCGGGGCCTGGGGTTTGTAACGGGAGCAACCACGGGTTTGGGAGGAGAAAGGGGACACAGGACACGTGAAGTAAGGTGTGCAGGGTGTGTCTGGAATGTGTGAGGGTGGACCCGCTCCCGCCAGGGAGCAGGCGGGCGTGCTTGGTCAACACCGCGACTCCTGGTGGGTGTGGAACAGATTTTTCTCATGCCGGTGATTTCTCTATCCAGCCACATTTTGTATTTTCTAAATAATCTCTTATATAGTCACCTTGTTACTGACATAGCATTGTGGTTTTCTTTTAGGGTCCTGATCTGGGGGGGAAGGGATCCTTATTTTGCCATTTACGGTTTCTTCAGATTGCCTTTTATTTTCTTAGTCTCATTACCGTTTTCTTACTTTTTCCCCTTTTGCCTGCGGTCCTTCCATCTGATTTTTAAAATCTTTATTCCACCTACTTCAACATTTTGAATTTGCAATCTTCTAAATTTTTGATCCATTTTCCTTCATATCATTTTATATATATATAATAAATATATAATAAATATATAAAAGCATTAGTCCATTTATTTATGGTTCCCCCCCAAAAATGCAGTAAATGTATTTTCTCTTATGATTTTCTTAATAACATTTTTTCTCTAGCTTTTTTGTAGGAACATATAAAAGATGTGTGAACAGACTCTTTATGTTATTTAGTAAGGCTACCAGTCACTGCAGGCTCTTTGTAGTTAAGTTTTAGGGAAGAAAGTTGTGTGTGGATTTCTGACTGTGGGGGTGGGGTGTTGCGATCCCCCCACACCACCTCCGTTGTTTGAGAGGCAACCACATGCCCGCGCAGGAACACGTGTATGCAGCTTGTTGGCTTCCAGCTCTCCGTCTGTTATCTCACGTCTGCCTTTAACGACAACACCGAAATTACGTTGTTACTTCACAGCAGTTTCTCAACCTTGGCACTGTTGCCACTGTGGGCCCCGAATCTGTATTTTACCAACCAATTCAGGTCACTGTTATCATCCCAAAGACTCAGGACCACTGCTCTAGACGCCTGAAAACCTGTCTCCAGATGAAGCCAACCTGTCGGAGCGCGGCCTCTGGGGGTGGCTCGCTACCTGGGGTGCTGTGGCAGCGGGGCTGCTCAGGGCAGGTAAGGGCTGGGGCAAAGAGGGGCCTGGCGACACCTGTGGCACAGACAGCCCGATCGCACCCCCTCACAAAGGGGCCCTGGAGACCCCGGGGAAATCTCTTGGGTCTCTCAGCACATGCATAGCTGCTGCCCCTCAACAGCCTGCCCGGGCTTCATAATCTGTGCTCATCGAGCCAACAACCTACACAGCGGAAAAGCCCTAGCAGCATGTGCTGTGGGCCTTCCTCCTGCCTGCCCTCCCGTCCCTCCTGCCCCCTGCATACCCGCCCCCCCCGCCCGCCCTCCCAACTGCCTTATCAATTGATTTCATCTCATTTTATCTCAGATTATATGTTTACAAATCATGCAGTTATTCTTTTTTGGGGGGTGGGGAAGGGCAGGTATACATAAATACCTAGTTAGACCATATGATCTGGTGAGAAGATTCTTTTATTTTAAATGTTTTTTTTATTTTTGAGAGAGAGAGCAAGCAGGAGAGAGGCAGAGAGAGGCAGGGAAAGAGAGAGAATCCCAAGCAGGCTCTGCACTGTCAGTGTAGAGCCCAACTCGGGTCTCTGAACTCACAAACTGAGATCCTGATCCTGACCTGAGTTGAAATCAAGAGTCAGCGGCTTAGCCGCCTGAGGCACGCAGGTGTCTCTAGACAGTTAGTTTAGAAAGAGTAAACTTCGTAAAGTATAAATGTGTCAACCATACAATGAACGACTGCCCAAATCAGTGCCATTTACATGCTTGGAACAGTTTTCTTGGACCCAATCTTAATATTCTCGGCTTTTCCTGCTTTTTCTCCATATCATCGTAAGATGTGAAGATGTGACTGCTAAACTGGGAAGTAAATCAACATAACCCAACCCAGGACAGGTTTGGGTTCTAATTAAAATTTCCAAATGCCAGGAACAGAGTCTTTACCATAGAACAACCAAGTGTTAATAACAATTGGAATCACACAAGGCCTAGAAAGTACTGTGTGTGGATCCAAGGGATACCTCAGCTTGGTACTGCAACCCCCTACACACATACACTTTGCCAAGAGTTACCCAACACTTAAATTATAACTTAAGACCCATCTTCCACCCACCAGTGAATATCAGTTTACTTCTGACAGCTGTGACCAAATAAAAAACAAAGATTATAGCTACCCATTAAAAGATTACGCAAATCCCATCATGCTCGAGCAGCCGGCTTGCTAATCCTCGGGGCCCCTCCTGCTCAGTTTTGGCGGCTTAGGCACTATGCAGCTCGATACCTGCCTTCTTCAAACCTGGCAAGAGACCCCTTGTCCAGGATTTCATCCCAGTGGAACCAAGGGACTAGTTAATCTGTGCAAGGGGCTGGTTAGTCTCTGTGTATTAACTACAGCCCTCTGGGGACAGTGTGTCCCTGCTTTCACGGTCAAAGCCTCCTACTAGTAAGCCCTTCATGGGGCATTCTAGGACAAAGAAGGCTTTTCAAGCTGCAGAGCCTTCTGCCATCTTCCAGCTCCTCTACGTGGGGCCCTGGCGAGCTCCTGGCCCCCTCTCCCTCTGGCACCAGAATACTTACATGGGTATGGGACCTTAAACCACGGGGCTACCAGAAGCACGCCCTGCCTGGCATCTGTTCGAGCGTAGAAGCCATACTTGGTGCTGTCGGGAGGGAAGACATCTGTCACCGTGAAGATGAAGCACAGCAGCCAGGACACGAGGATGGCCAGGATGATCTAAAGTGTCCAAGGGAAAAGCACCGTGAGGCCAACAGAGGTGGTGGCAAAACACACGCCTTCTAGCATCAGACCCCACAACTTCCACCATCATCCGTGCTTTGCAGAAAAAAACACATCACAGATCTGCTGGAAGCCTATTCCTTGGGTGGAATCTCATTCAGAGAGAGCACTTTTATGCAGGACAAGGTTATTTTAACGCCACGTCTGGCTAGAAAATAAGAGTAATGGACAATGTGCTTGCAGAGGCCACGCAGACACAGACTGCCCTCTGTCCTAAGAACCGTGTCCTCCCTCCTTCACATGCCTGAAACGGCTGCAGATTCAGAACCTTCTACTGTCAAACCTTAGGTCCACGACGATGTGTGGTCCTTAGCACCCTGATATCGCCACCCAGACACAGCTCCCCCAGGAAGGCCTGCTTAAAACTTCCTTTTCACGTAAACAAAGGCAATATGGTCAGAAAAAAAAAAGCAACTACTCACAGGGAACATTTTGAAAAGCTGTAACTTGTATGCAGTCCATCCTTTCTTGGATTTGTAAATTGGGAGAGGAAACTTCACATTCCTGGCATATTGTGAAAACAGTAATACTAGGAAAATTGTCCTGGCGAGGGGGGGAGACAGAGAGAGAGAAAGAGAGAGAGAGAGAGAGAGAGAGAGAGAGAGAGAGAGAATAAACTAGGTTAAAGGCTGTATGTCTGTGTTTTAAAATAATACACAGAGCTGCAAGGGTAAAACTGACCCCGTGTGTTGAGTTGATTTCTCTAGAAAGCTGCTAGTCCTCTTAACTGTTCTTTGGGAAATCATAGGTTTTAGAAATGCCGTTTTTTGGAAAGATTAGTTCTTAGCCTTTCTTGATACTAAATAAAATTGCTATATAAATACTTGGGCTAAATTTTCCTGAAGAGAATAAGAAAACCCAAAGAATGCACACACCTCTGAGAAATGCTCACACCGCATAAGCGAAAAAGATACAAGACGCGACAAAATGTACGCTAAAATCACAACTACGAACTAACTAAAAAAACAAGTAAGCACTGCACATGCATGTACACACATGCACACGTGCAAACAGGTGAAGAGGACAGGGTCCAAAATGACCACAGGAATTGACTATGGGTGGCAATATGTTTTGAGACCTTTTTTCTACTTTTCTATATTTTCTGATTTACGTGTTAAGGGCATAAACTGCTTTTAAAAAGCAAAACGCTTCAAAATTCAAGAAGGCTATATACAGGTTTCAATGTTAATAACAATGTTCCCAAGAGGTCTGCAGGCGTCACGTGACGGTCATCCTGCCCATCGTCTCAGCCTTCTGCAGCGATGGCTTCTAGGACCAGCCGCTTCCCAGACAGAGCCAGCAGTCCCAGATCACACAGCCCGAGGCCGCGGGGTGGGCGGGCCAGGAGCTCTAGCCCTACAGCCCGGGCTCTGAACTGCTTTGCCGCACTACTCTGCCATAAGGGCAGGGACGCTGGGGCTGAGAAGTCTCTCTACCATAGGTCCCACACTCCTGACCAGCTGCAGTGAGGCCCACAGGAGGCAGCATTGGCGGCTGACTGCCCTGCTGCAGGACCCGACACGTCCTCATCCGTCTGCTACAAACGTGGCAGGTGTGGGATGGCTTCCACCGTGGACACACGGAGGCGTACACAACAATGGGTTTCATCACCCACAGGGACGCACTCTCTCACTTATAGCCCAAGGGAGAGCTGGCACAAGAGTGGGCTCTCGGTCAAAGCTCAGCTTAATTGTTCCTGGGCACAGCTCCAGTTGTGGAGATGGAATCATCAGCCCCGCTGACAGCCGGTCAAGTGCAGCTTCACGGTCACGTTCTTAACGAGGCGCATGGTCTGCAGCCAGCCGGAGAACAGGCCTGAGCCGCTCCACCCTCTCCCATCTACCCAGGTGCTTGCTCACCTGGCGATGGGGGTCTTGGCCCAAACACAAAGTCACCGAGCCAGTACCAGTCCAGGGTTGGAAATATACACAAGTTACTCCAATTCCCCGGGGGAGGGAGACGGTGAAGTTTAACAAGAAAAATGATATGGTAATGAGGAGTACTGAAACCAGCTTACTTTAAACTGAGATCAACATAAAATTTTCATGTTCAAAAAAAAGAGTGCTATTTATTTCAAAGTGAACACTATGAGATTCCAAAAGGCCCCAAATGTATTATTACCATTATTTCAGGCAACACCCCACTTGACCGTTATCACCTGCAATGAAGTGTTCACTTTTTAAAGCATGTTTACAAGGGGACGGGGGACCCCTAGAGAATGCCAGGAAGGACGCCCATCTCCGGCCAAATCTGGCAGGGCACACAAAGCGAGTGGGCCAGGCAGATGAGCCCTCCACTTTGTTGCCACTGTAAAACCCACACCTTCCATTTATCCTCAGATACGCCTGTGGGGCAGAAAAGGCTGGCAGTCCTGCAGCAGGAAGGCGGGAGCAGAGGCTCAGAGGTGGGGGGACGGGCCTGAGCTCATGTATCTCGGCCAAACAGATAAGGGGAAAGGATGAACCCCAGGTGCTCAGGCCAGGGTTCTATCCAACCACTGGCTTGTTGACCTTTTTCCCTTATAAACATTACGCAAGTGATGCATATTAAAATGTAGGAAAGTTATAAAAGGCAGATAAACAAAAAGACACAAAATCCTAAAGATCACTCCTAATCCCACCCCAGGTAACAACTGTGGAACATTCTGGTCTAGATTCTAAACAGCTTCCATTCCCTGGATACTTACAGGGCATCGCTGGGTCCGGGGCACTGGGGTTAGAGGGAGAGACGAGACTGCCTGACGGGAGCTTTGCCCTTGGAGCACAAATAGGTCATCGTCTGACTCGAACTGGAATCATACTTGACAACGTACTTCCCAACTAACCGGTAGCGCCATGAACGCCACAACCTCAACAGACGGAAATCGGCAGCAGCACCTTAGTGGCTACGATCATCCCATCTTACGGACACACCACATCTTGGTAAACAATTTCCATATGGTATGACACTGGGAACAACAGACACAACTGTGACAGATCACCCTCTCTGGCACCTGTCTGCAAGTCTCCTTAGGGCAAGTTCCTAGGACTAAAACGGAGCTGTCAAATAGTAAATATCTTATTAAAGAGCTTCTTTAAAAAAAAAAAAAAAAGTTTATTTTGGGAGAAAGAGAGCGGGAGCAGGGGAGGGCAGTGTGGAACCTGACACGGGGCTCAAACCCATGAACCGTGAGATCAGGAACCTGAGCTGAAATCAAGAGTTGGACGCTTAACCGCCTAAGCCACCCAGGAGTCCCTAAAAAGCTTCTGAGGCAAACTGCCACATACATAAAAGTTAGCAGAATTTACAGTCCCACCTAGAGACGGAAAATGTCTATTTGCTACTAACTGCAATACAAGATCTTACACTAAAGTCCCTACCAACTTCATCAATTTAAAAAACTAAAATCAATTAATATTCGTTCCTTACACTACACATAAGAGTATGTATTTCAGCACTGCTTGCAACAGTGAATATTTTAAACAACAACCATGAGTGTCGATCGGGAATGGTTGAATAAATTATAGATTTCATACTATTTAACACTGCAATTTTACAAAGAACGAAGTAGATCTAACCACACTGTCTTAGAGAGAGGAGCCCGACAAACTGTTAGAGAAAAACATTACAATGGTGAAGCTGTAAATGTGTGTACGTTTGTGTTTACACATACAGGGTAAATACTAACTTTTTACTCGTTAATCATGAGATGTTTTTGAGGGGTGGCAGTGCTGGGAGGAACTATTTACTTCAGATTTCCCTGTGTAATTACTGGTAAACTTCAAATGACTAGAATTTTCATATATTTTGGGAGTAGAGAGAAAATGAGACTTAAGTATTTGGTGGTAGTATCTATTTTTGAATAGGTTTGAAAGCTGGACAGAAGTAATCAAAATAATGTTTTCTCAAGAAAAATGGTTCCCTTCAAGGACCCATGCATGGGGTTAGAAAGGTCACCCCACTTACCCTCCCTTAGGCATCTGTCTCTAGCTGTGCCTCTCCTGGCTGACTTAGGATCCCATGTCAGGACAATCTGACCCACCATCACTATCCCATTCTGTTAACAGAATCCCTGTGAATATGTATTTTAATAACTGGGGAGGGTACTCCTTTCTGTACACTGATTAGTGATTTGCACCTCCTTTTTTTGTTAAATGGCTGCTCATATCATATCCTCCATCCATTATTCCACCAGGACTCTCTTCTTTAGTCAAACTATTAATTAAGGATATTAGCCTTTTTAATGGAATTTGTTGTAAATATTTTCCCAGATTCATTTATAATTTAGTTTCAGTGGGCTTTTCATTTATTTTCTAAAATTTTATTCATTTATTTTGGGAAAGAGAGAGCGTGCATGCACACACACACACACGGGAGGAACAGAGACAGAGCATCCCAAGCTGACTCCACACTGCTCAATGCGGAGCCCAATGCAGGGCTCAAACTCAGGAATTGCGAGATCACGACCTGAGCCAAAACTAAGAGTCGGTTACTTAGCTGACTGAGCCACCCAGACACCCCAAGTGATTTTTTTTTTTTTTGGTCACCATGGTTTTTGTTAATTAAATCCACCATGGGCCCATAATGAATTTTATTAATAAATTCTCTAATATTTAATCACCCTTGTATTCCTAAAATGATACACATAATGTATTGGTTTTTTCTTATTATTATCTGGAACAGCATTTTCCCCAAACCATGTTCCAAAGAGCATTCTTCCAAGACATGTTAATAGATATGTTAATTGTTGTATAGAACTGGACACTAAAGCCTTTTTCTGAAAAGCTTCTCCTGCACATTTGCATTTTATTTTATTTTATTTTTTTAAATGTTTTTTTATTTATTTCTAGGAAAGAGAGAGACAGCGTGAGCAGGGGAGGGTCAGAGAGAGAGGGAGCCACAGACTGAAACAGGCTCCAGGCTCCGAGCCGGCAGCCAGCACAGAGCCCAACGCGGGGCCCGAACCCACGAACCGTGAGATCATGACCTAAGCGAAAGCCGGACGCCCAACCGACTAAGGCACCCAGGCGCCCCTGCACATTTGCATTTTAAAAGATCACAAGGAAACTTGCAGGACAGCAAGATGCCGGGCTTTAGCATACTACTACCTAAACGCATCTGAACTCAGCCTGGGGCTTCACACAGCTCTGGGGAGGAGCACGTGGATGCGGCTCTGTTATATTAGCTCTGTCAGGATCTGCCGTGGAGATCAACTTGGCTGGGAAGTTTCCCCTGCTTCTTAAACTGCCAGAACCCCTTAAACGGAGCAGGAATTCTCTCTTCCTTGAAATAAAATAAACTCACTAACTATTGGAGCCCAGAACTTTTTTTAGGGATAAAATCCTTTGATGGCACTCTTGACTGCTCGTGTGGCCGGGGACGTACCCAGGGCCATCAGTCCTCCCTTCACTTACTACGAGGTGCTTACTGAACCCCTGCTCTGTGACCGGTGGAGAGCCAGGTCCTGACGGTGCTGCAGTGACCGGCACGGAGCCGCAGCCTTGCCCTCACACAGCTGACATCCCAAGGATGAGAGAAGCTGGCTGGAAACTAAAAGACCTGACAGAAGAAAGGAAAAGCCAGACAGAAGGATGCACAGATACAGCTGAGGAGTTTTCCCATGAACGGAGAAACAAGATGGAGAAACGGAAAGCAGAGGGTTAGGGAGGTGTAAACATTCTAGAAGTTCCAGGAAGAGACAAGCAAGAATGCAGTTAAGGAAAGCATCCACAAAATAATTCAATCATTTCTCACCTGTAAACAGCTGAGATTCCAACAGCAAAAGGCCCCAAGTGCCCAGTGGAAGATGTACACAGAATGAGGGACAGTGGGGAAGGTTTCAGACACAGACAACGAGAAGACCTGCAAATTTCCAGAATTCCTGCTTGTGTCCAAGCAGAGTTTTGAGAGGAGGAGACAGAGAGAAGAGTGGCCAAGCACTTCACAGGATGGAGAACAAGCAGGAAGGGGGCAAGAGAGAACTGGAGATCAGTTTGGAAGCACTGGCCAAAGGCGAGGCTTGTCGAGGGGAGTGGCGGGGGCGTGACCTGCTGGACAGAGGCAGGAAGCCGGGCTGAGGGGAAGCAAAGAATCAGGAACCACTGCAGGGCGTGTGGCTCCATCAGCTGGGTGTGTGTTCGTGGCCCTGCCTGAGAGCAGGATGGCAAGAGGGGGGGGGGGCTGGTTTTGGGGGAAAAGGAGGGAAGCAAACGCTTGACACTTTCTCCCTTTGAAGTCTGAGAAGTCCTGTGTGACAGCGACTGGAGGCCGCAAACCAGGACTTGGACCTCACAGCTGGTGTTCAGGGGCGTGGCTGCGTGGCTGCAGGCTCTCACGGAAGTCAAGGGCATCACGGGCTCGCCAGGGCCCCGCACTAGCCGAGGCACCTCAGGGGCAAGGCACACACGCAGGAAGGCGCCTCAGGGCCTGGTTCTGGAGAACCCTGACATTTTGCGGTCAGGGTAAGGAGGAGTCCATTTTTGTTTTTACGCTTTTTTGGAAAACCACACATTTTATTAATTGGTGGTTGTTGTTAAATGTGGGGGCAGGTAGCGCAGCTGGAACTCTTCCTCCCTGGACCTAAACATTTGTCCCTTGGTCTGTGCACTCACTCCCTCCTCTGCTCAATCGGCCTCGCCCAAGTGTGTCCATGCGCTAGTTTCCAAAGAACCAATGTTTGGAGTTTTCACTTGCATTGTTTCACATTTTTTCTATCTGTATTAATTTTTCGTCCCCTGCTTCCATGAGGCTCATTTTAATCCTGTTTTTCTACTTTCAAAGAGATGAGCTCTTCATGTACTTTGCCTTTAAGACTGTGCGTTTTCGTCGAGAACAACTCTGCGTGACGGGTCAGTTCTTGCCCTCGTGTTCTAATCTTCAGCAGTCGTGAAGTTTCAATTTCCCCTCTGAGTAGGAGTGATTCATAACAACGTTTTTCAATTCCTAGGTGGTCTGGGGGTTCTGTTCACCCTTGTTATTGGTTTCTAACTTTACTGTAGGGTGCCAATTCCAATTTCTTCTTCTTGGAACTTACTGCGTTTCACAGAACATTCTTCCCTGCCTTCTACACGCCCATGCTGGTGTAGGGAACACTGACCAGCCTTCAGTGAAAGGAGAAATGAAGAATAACCCTGGACATTTTCACACCCCTTTATCTGTTAGGCTATTGCTTCTCGGCTTTTTGGCTAAGATCAAGTGAATCTGTAAAACTAGATGGATTATAATTACGCAAGGATGCACTTTAACTTGCACACTGTGTTCTAACACAGACAGACAGAATGAAGTGTTAGGGAGTAAGTTCTGACCAGACTACTTGGGTTCTTACTAGCTCTGCGAACCTGGGCAGCTAACTTTGCATCTCTGTGCCTCTGCTTCTTTTGCTGTTAAATGGGGATAACACCGGTATCTACCTTGATTTACAATATATATGATGAGTGTTTTTGGAAAGCACTAATGCAAGGGCTCAAGAAGTGCTCTGGCTATTGTTTACGGATTACAGAGTACTTCACAGAGCAAAACAAAAACAACTGGAAACTCCTTTCTGTTATTACATACTTTGTTTTGGGAATTTTGCTGGTTGGCAAATGCCAGGCTTTGAACCATTTCCCTATAACATGATCAGCTCTTACATGTGTTCACCAGGCACACAAAAAGGAAGTGGGTTCCATTTGTGGCATACAAACGGCTCTACTTATCAATCTTCTACTAAACCGAAGTCCTGGATGTCTTTACTGACAACACAAAGGGGTAAGTGACATTTTAGTGAACTTGGAAGTTGTGTGCTGAAGCGCCAGCAACGACTGGCAGGACTCTGGCAAGAGCCACGGCTTCCCCCACAGGTGCAGGAGCCAGCCTGGGGAGCCGTGTGTCTCTTGATGCCAACAGACCCTGGTGCAGCATCTCGGTCTCCTGCCAACCTGGAAAGTTTTTTTGAGTCTCATTGAAAGGATTCGGCTTCTCGGTATTTCCACTCACGTGCACGAAACTTGGCATGACCTCAGAAGTTAAAAGCTAATGGCATCACCACCTTACACGCCCTTCTTAAAAAGTCTGAAACCTTACAACCCTCCCTTTACAAATCACTGCCACACAGGTCTTAGGAATACCTTGCTGTCACTTCCCAACCTCCGGGTCTGAAACACCCTTCAGTAACTTCCAGGCAAGAAACGAATCAAGTTTAAATTGTCAGACTCTTCTCACTTTAGGAAAACAAAAACAAAAAAACCTATCTCTGAAGTTTTAGTGTAAACGCTACAATATGCCGAGAGACCGCCCCAGGTGGCGGGAAGAGGAGGGACGGACAGTGCGCGCTGAGTGGCCCAGAGCACTCACAGCATGGCGATGCCCCAGTGCTTCCCCGCTCTCTCTCCCGCCGCCTGGAACCCAGACAGCCCGATGAGGGCCACCGTGGGCGTGATGGTCAGGGGCCCGATGTACTTCAGCAGAGCCCCGGGCAGGCCTAGAAGGCCGATGACCACTTCTATCAGCGAAGACATGATGATGGCGCCCTGGATCTGCAACGAGAGAAGGCACAAACACGAAGGGTGAGCTGCTTGTAGACCACAGACTCCAAGTGTCCCCTGCAACCACAGTGGACAGTTCTGCTAGGCAGCAACTTAGTACCTAACAAGCGTGACACAGCTGGAAAATTCCCGGCGCCCCCAAAAGAGACCAGTGGGGTGAGTGGGGTCTAGCCAACCTACGGGTGACATGGTTGATGTAAGAACATTAACAGAAACGGGCAACGGATGATCAGCTACCCTACCTCTCCCGTGGATAAGTGAGAGTTATCGTTTCTGCTCAAGACACACGACATTCAAAACCAGCCTCAGAGGAGCACTGCAGCACAAAGATTCTGGCCTTTAAAAAGCGAGTCTGAGGGGGGCGCCTGGGTGGCTTAGTCGGTTAAGTGTCCGACTTTCGCTTAGGTCATGATCTCGCGGTTCGTGGGTTCGGGCCCCGCGTCGGGCTCTGTGCTGACTGCCAGCTCAGAGCCTGGAGCCTGTTTCAGTCTGTGACTCCCTTTCTCTCTGACCCTCCCCTGCTCACGCTGTCTCTCTCTCTCTCTCCTAGAAATTAAAAAAAAAAAAAAAAAATTAAAAAAAAAAAAAAAAAGCGAGTCTGAGGGACATTTAGGAGACTGTGTTATCGACACAAATTCTAAAGGAATGTCCCTATTGTGGAAGACGGCCATTATCTGTGCCAGCTCTGGACTAATGGTGAAGGATCTTCCAGATTTGGGAAGGTCTGGATGAGCTGCCAGCCATTCTTCGTGTCTGAGGCCTCCTGTGCCCTGTCCTGTTCAAGTGCACCACAGCACGAGGGTCCGTAATTCTTTCCCCACGCACAGGTACATGCGGACAGGAATGAGGAGGGGTGCTGTCCGCAGGCAAGCCTCTGTAGCTCTTTCCAAGGGAGCCGCCGCAGCCCGTTACGCTGGAGCGTGTGAGTGGGCAGGTCTCTGGGTACCTAGGAGCTGAGGGGAGCGAAGGCAAGAAACTTCTGACAGAAATACCGTCTGGCTGCACAAAGCATTTCTGCGCACTTTATTTTATGGTGGTGCCATCTAAATTTAGTTTCACAACAGAAATAAACAGGTCAGTAGTTGAAAAGGAAAAGGAAGGCTCGGTGCACGTTAACTACGGTGTCTTGGGCACAGCCAACAATGGAGCAGGGAAGAAACACAAAGCAGCCAAAAGCAGACAATGCTCCTCTTTTACCTCACGTATCCGGGGATACCAGATGTGCTCTGTGTGTAACAGCTCTGTTGTTCCATTGGACACTGAAACATCTTGAAAACAAAAACAAAGAACACTTTTTGGAGCAACACTGATGTTTCACAAGCTGTATTCATTTTACTCTTGGTAAGAAGAAATCTCCTCCCTGTTTTAAGTTTTATTTTGTATTTATGTAAAATGCCCATCCCTAAAATTCAAGCTTATCATACTGAAAGATGTCTTCCCCAGCGCTAAGTGTCACCAAATTTGTTCATCGACTGAGAGCTCCCAGCTTGTCAAAAGCGGACTGAACTGAGGCTGCACGTTGCTAGTGCCGGCCTGACACAAAGACCAACCTTTGCGAGCAGCTAACGGAAACACCCAAAAGCAAGGCTGCCTGACTGAGGTTTTTAAAACCTAGATAAAACAGAGGGCCTTTTCCAGCTCCTGAATCCAATCAGTGGTCACAATCTAACTCCTGGGAGCAAGGGAGGAAGCAAAGGTTGGAAAACTTTGCTCCTAGAATCTAACAGTATTCTGAGAGTACACCAGGTCTGTCTGATTTTCTTAAACCGGCCCCCCTACCTGATCTTTTCCTGACCTGATCGGGTTATTCAAGGATCTTTGCAATCACTAATGAGGGGGAGGGGAGGTTAAAGTCATTTGCAGAAAACCAAAGCAGCCAGATCCTTAAAAAGCAGAGATGTTTCAGAGAAGGGATGCTGACGCAGCAAAAAGAGTGATTACTGGTGGTTCGTAAAATCCACTGAAAGAAGAGGCAGGAAAATAGCGCAAATGTTCTATTCCATTCCCATATATATCAATTTCATTAGCATAGAGAAATGAGGTCCTTTCTGGTCCTTACTTGCTCTGAGGTTAGGGAGGAACGAGTGGGGAGAGAGAGAGACAGAAACACGATCCACAGACTGGAGTGTTCTAAGCGGTTTGTTGGTCTGTATGTTCTCTGCCCGATTCCAGAAAGGGTTTAACGCTGCCGAGGGCAGCACGTCCAGGCCTCCCGACTATCGCGTGCGTTAAAGGACCCCAATGACGTATGCGGAAATAACTGCAATTACCTGTGGTGTTACATTTCCATTTATCTAAAGACAGGATGGCTCGAGCAGGGGCCAGAAATGCAAAAGCACTGGCCTGAAACAGGGGTAACCTAAAAGAAACGAGACCAAAACCATGATCACGGCATCAGGAACTACCGAGGTAGTTCACCATTTGACAGCTTAACAGTCTTTTCCATAGACAAACAGCACATGAGTAAATGCAGGCACACTCCAAAGAGTGAGCCCCGGTCTGCAAAGATCTCCTCGGCCACACAGCCAGGGGCCCCGGCTTCTCTGTCTTCCCCTCCCATTGCTCTCCCCACAGACAGCCCCAGCATGGGTCCTCGGGGAGCCCTATGGTCAGTGCCCACACCCCTACACCAGCCCCTGACATCACCACCTTTCCCCTTGGGGGTGGGGGATGTTGGGCATTTGGGCATCTTGTTTTCCTGCTGAGCTTGTGAGCTCCGTCCTAAATATTGGCGTGTCTTCCACTTTACCACCCTCCTCCTCCTCCTCCTCCCTTTCACATTCTTATTGGTTAGCACAGGAAAAAAAATCTATCTCCCCATCGCTCCATTTTGTAAGTCAGAAACTGCCCTAAATCCTAGAGGATCGGCATCATAATCACGTTAGTGATCTAGAGCTACTGAGGAAAGGAAAGCTGTCCGTTACAAATCACAGCAGACAAGATATTCTGCTTGATCACAAAAAAAGCAGGTGGACTCTGTTAAATCCCCTGCCTACAATCTTCAAACGTCACCAATTATATTCTAGATACTTCATGTTGACTTTCTGAACACCTGACCTATCCAAACTCAAGAGATTTTGCCATTTTTTGCAAGTGTACAGCATTTCAGCTACAGTTGTATAAAGGTAGCTTTATGAGCTAACATGAAAACTTGATTTCTGCTTGCTATTTTTAACATTATTTTCAAGGTAAGATAGAAAACCGGCCCTTTCTGTTTACAAGGCTGAGAACTCCCAGATGTCCAGATCCTTCTGAAATACCCCCCAAACAGCCTGGCACCAGCGTCTGGGCCAGTGGCCGGAGAACCCAGCACGCACCTCTCTGTGCTCGGACGGCATGCCCTGACCCAGCCGGAACAGGAAGTGGACTGAGAGAAGGTGCCGCTGGCTGAAGGGGCGGCAGCCATGCTACAAGCCCAGGGCACATACCACCCTGCGCCAGACACGGGGTCAAGATGCTCTTGTTCTTCTGTCCGTTTTAATCATGCAATGCAATCAACCCAGCATAGGCATGGTGCTGGCTTTAGGGCATAGAGGCAGGCTGCACAGTACAGACCAGATGTGTTGCTGGCGTCCACCAACCATCCATTTTTAATTACCTGTCAGAGGGGCCCAGAGCACAGTACCATCAAAAGTGGATGTGGAGGTCACCGAAAGTGGGAACGTACACCACAAGGCAACACTGATTTGCAAACATTCCTGAAGCATAACTTTTCAGAAATGTCTTAAAAGGGCAAAGGGTGACCCACATCTAATCAGGAATGGATGCCTTCTCAAACGGCCCAAATAACACGTTTTACTATCGTTTCAGATTTCAGTGCATCCTAGGGCCACATAACGTGGACTACAGAGATCTCGGCCTAGGAATGTTGCAATGGATCCCACATTGGTGGTTCACTGGGTGGGAGAGGGAAGACTGGCCCTGGGTTCCACTCTGCTCTCGACCTCAGTCTGGGCACCTTTCAGGGCAAACATTTTATGGCTTAACCATGACCACCAGAACCCAGCTGCAAAGAAGCTCACTCATTTCAAACAATCAGGACCCTGAATTCCTTTGAAAGTGGGTGATCATAGAAAATTCCCACATGTGCAGTCTCAAAGTCTCCCAAGACGGTCTGGAAAGGGGCTGCTCGTGCCGGCTTACATATTCCTGTTCAGCCACATGCACTGCCTGCCACGAGCAGCACTGGCCAGAGAACAAGTGAACACTGTACAGGACGCAGAAGTGCCCCAGCAGTTAAGGGTGGTCTCCACAACTGGCAGCGTGAACCAGTGGCTTGACAGGAATGTTCTTAGGGAAAGCTGTGGCAAGAGATATTATTTCATCAACTAAGAACTTCCCTAAATACGAAGCCAATTTTCCAAGAAAAAGGTGGAGGACAATAAAGCACTAGATATTGTCATCTGATAAAGTGGCTTTTTCCAGCCCTTCCCCAGTGTGCAGCCAATCAACCCCAGGGCTCTCCTCTCTGCACTTCACTCACGGCCCACAACCTCAGGTCCCTGGGCTCCCCACGTAGACAAGACTGTCTGCTCTTTTATCGTGTCCTGACAGCTGGAAAGGAAACTAATTCAGCGGCACCTTTCTTTACACCAGGAGCCGGCAAACTGATCCGTGAACCAAGTCTGGCACACGATTCCTCTTTGTGACTTGGGTTTTACTAGGACACAGCCACTCCATCCGCCCGTGTCTGCGGCTGCTGTGGGGCTACAGTGTGGAGCCCAGAGAACACAACAGAGGCCACAGACCCAAAATATTTGTTGCTTGTCCCTTTACAGGAAAAATTTGCCAACCTTGTCTATAGGGAAAGTTGATCTTAAATATGGAAGAGGCGGTGGGTTTTTGCAGATGAGTTTTTAGGGTTAACAGGATTACTAGAGGTTAGTACGAAAAAACGTGAGCAGACAGACACATGTCGTGACATACTCCCACGTCAGGTTCTAGCCCCAGGATGGAGAGAAACCTAACCAGTCCCAGACAAGACTTCCGTTCTTCAAAACTCTGCTGGAGGCGTCCCACTTCCTCCTCTGAGCCCAGAAGACCAGAGCTCCAGGCCCCCGGCTCTTCCTCACCAGCCTCTTCACAGACCTGCTCCCCAGATTCTGGCCTCGGAGCCTCTGCTCTCCTCTCAGTCGTCAACTCTCCTCCAGTGTTCAATATTTATTCATTACGGCACAGAGGAAATACCCCATCCAGGTATACCCCAGGACCTCCTGTGGATTCATAATGTGTTCCCCTGACCGCTCAGAGCTTTCTGGCCATGATTTCTGCCGCTCACTCCCCACAGTGCCAGGAAGCTGCTTCAGGGGTGCTGGCTAAAAATGGAGATTTCTGCATCTCACCCAGTCCTGGTTAGTCAGAGTCTCGGATGAGGCCTCAAATCTGCAGTCTGAACAATCACTTCTGGGTGATGCTGAGGCACCAGGCACCACAAAGATGGACGACCCCCAGGCCAGATGAAGGGATTTACCATCTGCAACGATGGAAAAAGCCACCCCAGGGCAGCTGACAGGTTCCTGCTGTGTGCAGGAAGACAGCTGGCCACGGAGGTGGTGACGCCAACGGGGCAGGACGCCGAGGACGGGCACTGCGCGGGCCGGCACCTCCCGGCACTAAAGGGCAGGAAGCACCACACCACACACGGAAGGGGCTGGGAAGCGTGCAGGCAGAGAGAAGAGCAGGCACAACCAGAGCCACACCGCAGCCCCTGGAGTCCTCGGAGAACCCGGCCTGGACTGTGGGCGGGGCTGCCGTGCTGAAGGTCAGAGTGGACCAAGGGCACATGCCCCACCTTGTGCCCGCAGGCAAACGCAATCTTGCTCAGAAAGGACCACTTTTGGGGACCTGGGGGAGCTGACCTTAACCCCAAAACGTCAGAAGGCACTCGGGCAGGCTGCAGCCGTACCACCTGTGGTCTGTGCTTCGCGGACTCGCTCATGCTGCAGTGTCCTGTCAGCCCCGGTGACCTGCCAGCGCAGGACAGGTCTCCGCACACCTCAGCCTCGGTGGCTCCCTTCGCCGCACCCCAAATGATTGGCCTGTGGACCTGGGCACCTCCCCACGGGGCTGGACCTGCCCTGACTGTAAGAACCGAACCCTTTTACCCACCATCGGTGTGTCCCCAGCACCAACTTTCACTTAGCGATCAATTAATGAATTAAAGGCGCTATTGACAAATGTTATTCTTTGAGAAGAATTTTATTAGACTAAAAAGAAGAAGTCTTTCTGCCATGTTGATTTTAACTGCAAATTAGGGAAAGGACCTTTTTTTTTCCCCTCAATGATTAAAAGTACTGGGTAGAGAGAACAGAGTCAAGGGTAGAGGAATTTTCCACACAAAACCAGACAACTTCCCCAAGGTCCCAGGGGCTAGCAATCATCCTTGGTGTCATCAGGAGGAAAGTCCTTAACAAGCTTAAGAGGGCAGGGGCCTAACAGCTGCACCTGAAAGGGAGGAAATGTGGTCTTCCCAGAATGGAATCATTTCATGAAAATGAATAAAACAAAACAATCCATCGACACAGAAAGTACACTAAGTGCCAAACTGGCTTCCTCGATCTACCAAGAAAGCTATTGAGTTGGTACAAAACCTTCTGTCAAGTAAATATTTACTTGAGTCTAAATACCAGCATGATTTTAAGACAATGATCTCTAAGAAACATGGCAGGTTTGCCTTCAAGGAGCTATAGTTTCAAAACTGAATCTGCCATCAGGAAGGTGTATCCTAAGCGCCTTTAGGGAAAAGCAAAATACAAGATGTCACAAACTCTTAACTGGTAACGTTTTCCTGTTATTTCCCATAGGTATATATGCTCTATCAGCTATCTGGAAAAGTAGCTTGCATTTAAGAATAAACATACCCTCTGCATCATCGTTTTCCCATATCATACCCGAGGACAGTGATTTAACAATGTTATCTAATATTCAGGCCATATTTAAATTTATCTAATTGTTTATAAATATACCTGCTCCTGCTCCCCCAAATCCAATCAGAGTGCCTACACTGCATCTGGTGGTCTCGTGTCAGATTCAGAGCCAGGCCAGACACTTCCCGCAAGGACGCTGTCTGAGTGGTGTGAACTTCTTCGAGCATCCCATCAGGAGGCTGCTCCATCAGGCTGTCCCACAAAGTGGGACCTTTTTCCTTTGGTAACTAATAATCTACAGAATGATTCTTAGGCTGCGTGAATATTATATTCCCACTAGCTTATGAATATTCTTATATAGTGGGCTTAAAAATTACAATTTTTCAATATGATCATTCCATCCATACTTAATTAGTGGCCTTTTGTAAAGAAGAACTTTCCTTTTAGTCCAACGTTTTCTTTTTTGGACATCACTGTAGATGCATGAATTCCT